AGAAGGAGACATGCCCGACCCCATAAGGTATATATATTCTTGATCAGTATCAACAGCCGAGTCGATATAGACATGTCCGTCTGTCCGTCCGTCTGTTTCTATGCGAACTAGTCTCTTAGTTTTAAAGCTATCGTTATGAAACTTTGCAGAAGCCCCTCTTTCTGTTGCACGCAACACATATGTCAAAACCACCTGGTTCAGTCGTTTGATCGGAAATTAATTTGCTAGATGAAAAACATTTTTGTTTATAGAGGTATCTTGAGCAAACTCGGCATTTATTAGTTTTACTATTCCTTATATATATGAAAAATCCTATTACGATCGCACCACTATATCATATAACTGCCTTAGGACCCATCGGTCAAAAATTATGCTGTTGCATGGACAGTTTTTTGGTTTTTACGATATCTTGACCAAACTCGACATTAATTAGTTTTACTATGCTGGTTATACATGTGCAAAATCCTATTAAGATCGGAGCACCATATCATATAGCTGTGATCGGAACGATCGGTCGAAAATTACGTTGTTTTACAACAAACATGTTTGTTTATCAAGATATCTTGACCAAAATCGTCATATATTAGTTTTACTATACTCCACATATAAATGCAAAATCCTATTAAGATCGCACCACTTATCTGCCATAGGAACGTTCGGTCGAAAACTAGGTTTTTGAAACAATATCTGTTATGTTTATAAAGATATCTTGACCAAACTCGGCATTTATTAGTTTTACTATGATCCTCATTTATATGCAAAATTCTTTTAAGATCGGACCACTATGTCATATAGCTGCCATAGGAACGATCGGTCGAAAATTAACTTTTTTTACAACAAACATTTTTGCTTATCAAGATATCGTGACCAACATCGGCATTTATTAGTTTTACTATGCTCTTCATAAATGCGAAAAATCTAAAAATAGCTGTATGACAGTTGCATCCGAGGTAGAACATATGTTGAAGTGTGTGAAAATTCTCCCCAGATGAACTGCGAAAGTCTGGGCTCTCTCCTCATTGGAACAACACCAGGAGCCAGATGCGTTGAGAAGGGGTGCAATCCTTTTAATTGGTCTCCTGAGGAATCTGGTGGCGTTCCACAGGCCCTTAAAATTGTGCGTGTGAGAGTTTCATCAGCTTCCTCGATATCCTCAGCAGTGTCTAAATTGATGGTGGGATCCAGTGTATCCTCCATGCCTTCAACGTATCAACATAAGAGCTTCTAGTTAGTACCTTGGTGATTCGCTTACTGGTGCTTACAGGAAGATTGCCTCGAAGCACCACTGCGCACAGTGATCGGATAGTAGATCAAAGTCATTCAAAAAATCAAAGTCATGCACTTGATTTGAGTCCACACCATAGGTGATCGCAAAGTCGAGAACGAATTGGTACCTTCTGAATGTCCGTGGGCCAGTAGGTTGGATGCCCGGACGAAAGAGTGGTGAAATGCCTTGCTTGGATGCAGTATAGCAGGGCAATTCCCATTGGGTTGCACAGCCTAAAACCCCAACAGGTGTTTTTTGAATTGAAGTCACCCTAGATTATAGCTGTGGCCGAGATCATTAAAAATTTGGGTAAACATTCGAATTGCTACATGGTGTCTGGATGGTACAGAGGCTGCCTTAATTCCAGTTGGCGTGTCGATTGTTGTCAAGGCTGCTTGAAACCAGGGCTCCAGGACAGGAGTGCGCTTAGCTCTGATTTGATGATTCGTGTAGTTTGCGAAAATCAGGCTATAACCATCTATTTGAAATGAGATCTACCGATAAAGTGAGATTCAGAGATGAGCATAATATCTACATTGTTCCTCTCAAGGTACATGTCAACCTCAGGCCTACTTTTGCAAAGGCCGTTCGAATTCCATAGGACCAGCTTTAGGCCCATTTGCCTAATAATGCCATCTATGCAAATTGTGTTTTCATTATCTAACTCGTGGCCTGTATTTGAGCGATCAAAGGTTGACTTGGCTCGTTTGGTGCGAGGTTAAAGTCGCTAAAAGTTGGGTTGGTGTGGGATTGACCTCCTGCTACATTAGCGTAGCTAACGTAACTATTCCTAAATTTTGAAGGAGTGTTGATGGAGCATGCTAATGAAGTTAGGTCTCACATCCTTGTTGTTGTTGCACAATGGCATTGTAGATTCTGCGTCCCTTGAAGGAAGCATTGTCGCTGTCGCCACAATGGATGCATGGGGCAGGAGCATTTCAAGGCTTTGTGCAATCTATGGATTTGTGATTGACACTGAATTTGACGCATAGATATGACTAACGACAGTAACATTGGGTGTGACCTGGTAACTATGGCACTGAATGAGGTCATTGAACTTCCTTGGGGGCTCATTCACCATAACTGCACTGCACAGTCTTTTGATCTCAAAGACGGCTTTGTTATTGCTGGCTGGCTCTAAGTCAACGGAAAATATTGCCATGGGCTTGTTTGTAGCTCTATTTTTGGCATTTGTTATGTGGCGGACCGAGTGGACAACCTTGCTTAGGGCATTTCGGATGTGATCAAGAGGAGTACTGTGATGTCGATTCCCAATGACGGCTCTATATGCTTTATCCTGCTTTAGCTGGTAAGTGTGGAACTCCACATTACGCTGAATCAGCATGTTGACCAGGCTCTTGAAATTGGCTTCACTTGTGGCCATGATGCGCACTTAACCATCTCGACCAGCTTTATAAGTCGCTATCGACGAGTTCTGCGAAAGTCTCCTGCAGATCTGTTATGTTCTAAACGGCACTTTTAAAAATTGTTGGCGGCTTATATGCCTCAGTAAAATTTCATTTTATTTATTTTACAATAAGCACAAAAGGTAAAGTTGCAGTCTTACCGCAGAATAAAGAAGAAGTACGTCAACAAAATAAACTTCGTTCGTTCCATCAGCAAAAATTACTGTTCGCGAAAATCAACAATTTAATATAGGATTATTTGAATACAAGTAGCAATTCAAAACATAAATATCAAACCAAACAATATGTGATATTTATGCATCCGTAAAGCTAATACATTTTTATCAATTGCATTTCGGATATAACCAAAAAGTTTAAAGAGAATATTTCCTAATTAATAACCTTATTCCACAATCAACATTTCTTACCTCTGTTTTCGAATGTCATAGTTTTTGCGAATGTGATGTATGTTGTCTGTACGTTCTCCAATTCGAAACCACATATATCACATATGCAAAAAGGATTCGAAAAATGCGTGTTTTTGCAGGGATTTATCGAACTTGTTACAGAACTACTTGTTTCCCTTTTGGCAGCTTCGGCTGGCTCATCGGTTCTCTGGGTGTAGTCCCTGGCCTGCAGTCCGCACAATCTATATCAAAAACCTACAAAACCTGTAGCAAAACAAACCTCCACAACAGTATCGCAAAACAAACTACAAAATCAATACACATCAAGCACATGAAACTACTAACAAATGCAAAACATTAACAGTTTAGTATAGAGAAAAACTAAAACATTATACCAAAACATTAAATAAACAACAACAAATATTTATGCTCTTTGCTTTTCCAAATATGGTCCCGTTTCCGGACCAGCGTGCCCGCCTTACCTGAGACGATCACCTACTACCTTCCCCCTTTTTTTTGGCCACTGGCTGTCCCTCATCAGCCCGTGTCGGCAGTAATGCCCTTCTGCTCGTCGATGCATAATTAGCCGAACATTTTCTACCTTCAGTACATGCGTGTAATTGGTTGCATTTTCTTAAAATTTGTAACAATTGGAATTATTACTTATTTCACTATCTCTTTGCAAAACATCTCCTACCTTCCTAATATAATTTCATGCAAATTAACTAATAAGCCGCTTATGTAGGCCCTTGCTGGCCGCAGCTAAAATACAGCATGGGGAAGCAATATATATTAATTTATTGGGCGATCGACGTAAAGACGACTCACGCAGAAATATACATATAATTCTTTTAAAACACATATGTTAAGGTTATAAAGGTTATCTAATTCTCTGGGTGTGATAAGGGGGCGATTTGTTGTATTTTTATACTTATATATTTATCTTTTGATTTTTATTCCCTTTCTTTCTTCTCCTTTTTTTCTTTAATGGCTAGTGAAAAGTGTTCAAAGTTTCAGTCTGCGCTCGACTATTTTTTTTTATAGTAAATTTTGGTATTGCGGTCGGCAATCGCAATGGTGTTTGGGGACGTTCCCTCCCGTTACAAGATTACTTACTACTTTTACCTGGTAAAATACGCAAAGCGATAAACAAGCTATACAAAAAAACCTTGATCATAAACGGCAGCCTGATGTCAGCTACCGCCGTCTCTGCGCTGAGTATGGGGGGTGTGCTTGGGACGGAGGACATTGCCAAGGGCATCCGATCTTCTCTCTTCTTGATCTCTCTGTTAGAGAATCGGGTGGCCAATTGCAATCGCCCTATTGAGTTTCCCCTTCCAGCTAATTTAGTGCCGCTATGCTCTCTAATTCGCCCCACTTTGATCATTTGACAAAAAGGTATCGGCCTGGCCGATAATATCAACCGCAACCAAAACAAAACGGAATAACGATGCTGCCGATAATAAAAAATGCAACAAATTTCACATCGATGTTATAGAAAACATGATAGTATCATTACCACAAATGGCATATTTAACATAGAAGTTAAGCGGTAACCTAAAGCTATTATTTTAAATTTTACCATGATGACCAACTCTGCCAAAGATTCCATTTAATGGAGGTCCTAATTCAATATTATATTATTTGACTTTTGGAACCTTGCGCTTAGGTTAATAAAATCAAACCGATCAGCTATTTACTTATAGAAGCGGCACTTTTGCCATTCATTTGTTACCGACAACGGACACATGTTACGTTAAATTTGAGCATAGTGTAATCAGGCAAAAAATTTTGTTGAACCAGTGGGTAAGGAAATTTGGTATTCGATGTATGGAATGAAATAAATCGATTGTATACGATGATATATTATGGCTTGCTATATCGAATCAGCTCGATAAACTTTTTGTAAATTTAATTAGTTCGTGCATCCCTAATTTTATATTAAAAATAGTCCATCAAGACGTAAAAATAAGTATAAAAATTTGCTAAAGATGGAAGTTAATATTGCTCAATCTTCTGTTGATGACTTAGAGAAAGAACTTAGCTCTGCCAAACGATCATTAATCACACTAAACGACAATATCCGACGACTTGTTGGTAGAGGGCTTAAGGAATCGAGGTTTTTATTTAATAACATCAGTGGCAAGATGTATGAGTTTTTATATGTATACATACATATATATATATTTTTTTTAGATTGGAAAAGTATAATGCCGATATCTTAAGTAAAAGAAATGAGCTAAATCAAAGCAAAAACATCCAACGCTACGACCTTTTAAAGCAAAAGCGCCGTATGCATGACGACAAAATTGTATTTAATCGGCTTTCAGACGACGAATTATGGATGCCAGCACCGCGACTAAACTCGCGTGTTATTCGAGAATTGCCTTCGAGGGAAGAAGTTGTTGTAGCTCAAGGAATAGATTCTGAATCGAGAGCTCGCAATCGGCGCATGTTTGGGTCCCTTTTGGGAACATTACAAAAATTCTGCCAAGAAGAGTCTCGGCTAAGAAAAAATGAGGACAAAAAAGCGCTAATAGAAAAAAAATTAGAAAACCAAGAACTGAAAGAAAGAGCATTACTACAAAAAGAACGTGATTCACTATTCTCAGATAGAAAGCTTAAACAACTTGAAATTATATGTCTTGAGAAAAAAATGGCACGCCTTAAAGACTTTAAGGCTTGGGAATCCTCGATAATTTATTACCAAAATCATATACGCACAAAAACAAAACCACATTTATTTTTCCAACCTCGAATGCATACGGTACAGACAGAAAAGCTGTTAATTCAAAGTAAATTCGAGTTAGATCACTTATTAGAACAGCGCCGCGAACACTTACATGATGAACTCCGGAAAATTGACTGTTCAAAAAACATAGATGACGACTGTTTAATGAACAGAAAACACATCTGTTACAATAAAACCGAAGAACATACGCAGAGCAACATTCCAGGAATGCGTAAGTAAAATATATTTGTCTTGTAGTAATTTTAATGGTTTTGAGCAACTGTGTGTATCAGCACTAACCATACAACATATAAATGGGACAGGTAGAACAAATGTTGGTAGCATTTAATTTTTTGTAGATCAGGTCCACCGTCGACTTCCTTTTTGCTTGCTTCCAAAACTAACTAACTAATTCTTAGTTATCTGCGCTTATCATGATCTATCCCAAACTTGAATTCGCATATGTATGTTTGTTGTGTGCTGAGGTTGTTTCGGTAGAGAATCAATAACTAGCCTATGCTAATACAATACAATAAAATTATTATAAATAAATTAAGTTTTTTTTTGGATTACAGCAGCCAACCCGTAAAATCTTATTTAAATAAAAGTTAAACTGTGTATTTTTAATATATTATTTTAATTGATTATTGTAATTTTATAATATTTGAGAAATTAATTAATTAATATTTAAATTTAAAGACTGATCTAAATTCTATTATCGATTTAAAAAAACCTGATTGTTAACCGGGCCAACCTCTGTAAATAAAATACATTTGTGAATATAAATTTGTAATAGGCCATGATCAGCGCAAGAAAACTAACAAAACTATTTTTCTTCGCCAAAATCCACTGCAGTGTTTAATAACACATACAGTATGTCAAGAAAATGTTTTGACAAAGCGAAAAATTCATATTTTCGAGATTAATATGCAATTTAAACTACATACTTTTAATGCTTTATTTTTTACATATTTTAATTGTTTGCAAAATGAAAAACAGCACACAAATTCATTTTTAAACTTATATTTTACCGATTTAAACTATTTCTTAATTTTTTTTGCATATAATTATTATTCTAAGTATTCTTCATAGATATAAGGCACAAACATAACAAAATTCAAAACGCAAATGTAAAAAAAAAAACAGACAAAACTAAAAGGAGTCAATTTTTGCGCTGTCAATTAATTCTTTGCAAAATGCAAAATATTACTATATACATAACTAAATCTAGGAAACTATACCTATGGTGGTACTAATATTTGGTATATATTACAGCCCGCAGACGACGTGACATTGAGTGAAGAAGGTTATTTAGGTCATAGATTTCGGGTATTTTCATCCATTCTTCTTGAATGGCCTTGATGAGAGCGTTTTTATTAGTTGGGCTCCGTTTCCCTACGCGCTTCTTTAGGAAAGCCCACAAATTTTCAATTGGGTTTAAGCCAGGACTCTGGGCAGGGGTGTCAATGACTTTCCTGCAATTATACAGTAGCCAAGTCCTGCACAAAAACGATTTGTGTTTGGGGTCGTTGTCCTGATAAAGCTTGTACCTCTGTTTATTGGGGTTTTGAGGGTCTTCGAAGCCAAACTTTATTGCGCTCCTTGACAATTCATTCTTTAGAATGTCCAAGTAAAACTCTTTCGTCATCACATCATTGAAAATGCGCAGCTCACCAACACCTTTCGACGATATGCAGCCCCACACCATTACCAAAAGCTTGCCAAACTTTACTGTTGGTATTATATTCTTCGGTTCCAGAGCTGCATTGGGCTTTCTCCAAACTTTGCTGGGTCCGTCATGATAATATAACATTTTTTTTGTCTCGTCACAAAAAATAACGTCATCGCAGTACTCCGCGGGCTTGTTAACATTGGCAATTGAAAAATTAAGCCGCCTCTGAATATTTACTGCGGACAGTAGTGGCTTCTTCCTAGCTATTTGCGAGGAGTATTTATGCACTTTAAAGACTTTACGAACTGTCTCGTGGCTCACTGTCTTATTGCAGTCATTTTTTAAGTCCGATGCCAATTGTCGGAGGCTAGTTTGAGGTTGATCGTTGATCTGTTTTAAAATTTTTGCATGATCGCGTCTAGTGAGCTTCGCTGGTCTGCCTCCGGAGTGCTTTAATTCCAATCTGTTTTCTTTTTCGGCGCGGTTAATAATATTATAAATAGTTATTAACTTAATTGCGAACATTTCCGCCAACTCTTTAGCAGATTTCCCCTTGTGGTAGTGGAAATAAACTAATTGAATTAGATTTTCATTAAATAGTTGACCAGGCATTGCAAAAAGCTCTAAATTAGGCAAGATGTAATCTGTTAAAAACGCAAAATCGCTTCGAAGGCTCGCACAGCATATCAATGACTCACGCATTCAAATTTCTTCGAATTTGGAGTACCGTTAGGTTGCTTGGGCTCTATTTCGAATTGTGTTTGCATTTTGCAAAGAATTAATTGACTGCGCAAAAATTGCCTCATTTTAGTTTTTCCTTTTTTTTTACATTTGCGTTTTGAATTTTGTTATGTTGTGCCTTATATCTATGAAGAATACTTAGAATAATAATTATATGCAAAAAAAAAAATTAAGAAGAAATAGTTTAAATCGGTAAAATATAAGTTTAAAAATGAATTTGTGTGCTGTTTTTCATTTTGCAAACAATTACTTGACAAACTGTATTATTTTTCTTAGAACTATTTAAAAAAAAAAAACATATTGAGATCCATTACTCCAAACATTTTTCAAAAATCAAAATTAAGAAGTATCCATTTTTAATGGTGTCAAGAAATTGTTTTGACAAAACTTTTTTAGACCTATAATATTCAACAACAAAAACAAAACGCTAATACTTTGTATGGCGGCCTTTGGCAGCACATACAGCCTGTAATCTCCGGTTCATAGACTTTACTAGGTTATCCATATTATAAGTTTCAGGAATCTTTATCCATTCTTCAAGAATAGCAGCTTTCAATTCGTCGCGAGATTTCGGACTCCTTTTTGCCACTTTTTTCTTTAAAAAGGACCTAACATTTTTCATAGGATTTATGTCAGGGCTCTCTGGAGGAGTGTCCAATACTTTTTTACAGTTGTATAGCAACCACATCTTTACTATATGAGCCTTATGCTTGTGGTCATTGTCTTGGTAAAATTTTAAATTTGGTCTGTTGCCATCAAAAAACCCAAATTTATGAGCACTACTTATTAAATAAGTCTTTAATATTTCCAAATATTTGGCAGCATCCATATTGTTTTCAATAAAAGCCAAGTCACCAACGCCCTTGCTTGATATACAGCCCCATACCATCACAGAAAGTTTTCCAAACTTTACCGTCGGTATTATGTTCCGGGCTTCCAATGCCTTTAAGGGCTTCCGCCAGACTCTGGATGGTCCATCATTATAATATAACATAATTTTAGTCTCGTCACAGAATATGACGTCATCCCAATAACCTGCTGGCTTCCCCAAGTGCATTTGCGCGAATGAAAGCCGCTTCTCAATATTAATATGTGAAAGCAGGGGCTTCTTACGTGCAACCCGCGATGTATAGGCATTGGAATTCAGGATCTTTCTTATTGTTTCATGGGAAACATTGATACCATTTTCTTGCTCAAGATCCCGTGAAATGTTCCTGATAGAAATTTTGGGATTTATTTCCACTTTTCTCAATATTTTCCACTCATCTCGATCAGATAGTTTTCGAGAACGGCCACTTGAGACCTTTGTGTCTATTTGTCTATTTTCATTTTTTGCGCGGTCCAAGATGTTACATATTGTTTGTCTGGACAACGAAAACATCTCGGATAATTCTATCACTGTTCTGCCGATCTGGTGGTTATAGTAAACAAATTGGGCAATATCAAAAGATGCTCAACACGCGCTCAAAATTTCTTCAGAAAACGCTAACAGAATTCATAGGCAAAGTAAGAGGCAAAATATGAAAACTGAATTCTAACGGGATCGCATCAAAAGCGAATTGCGAAATCGATGACAGTGGTTGTCAAAACAATTTCTTGACACTATTAAAAATGGATTATTTTTAATTTTGATTTTTAAAAATTGTTTGGAGTAATCGATCTCAATATGTATTTTTTTAAACTAGTTCTTAGAAAAATAATAAATCAATATAAAATATAAAATACATTAAAAGAATGTTGTTTAAAGTGCACCTTAATCTGGAAAATATGAATTTTTCGCTTTGTCAAAACAATTTGACATACTGTATGTACATATTTTGTTGTACGCATGCATAATTCACACATATAAACAAAGGTAATTGCACGCCATTGGCCGGGATAAGAATATCTCTTCAGCATACACTGTGCAAAAATAAAAGTAATGTCAATATACGTGGACTATTGTATAAATATAAATTTTGCACAAGGTGCGGTTCGTGATAAAAAATTTGTATATCTTAATTTAATAATCTGAATTTATAACAAGGTAATAATTTAGAGAATGCTTATTATGGATAAAGAAAAAGTACTAATCGTCGTTTGTAAGTACAAAATTTGTCGCTCAATGTACTTCGAAAAAAAAACGACGCAGCTTTGCTGAAGGCAGACAGGCGACTGAAATCGTTGTTCGTGTCAGCATCAACAAGCCGCGTCTTCCGTCATTCGTTCGTTTGGCTTTTGGAGAGCGATAAGATTCAATTGTAAGAAAGCAAAGGAATGGTTCAGGGCAAACTCTGGGAACGTTTTGGAGTGGCCTGCTGAGTCGCCTGACCTGAATCCCATCGAAAATCGGCGGTACGACGTCAAGATGGCAGTTACTGCTTCCAAACCAACCACTATCGGATCATTTTGGGAAGAAATTAAAGAGTCCTGGTCCAAAATTCCCCTAAAACAATGCCAGGACTCGGTTGATTCCATGCCAAGATGCTGTGCAGCTTTTATTGCTAATAAGGGACACTGTACTAAATATTAAATGATGAATAGATTTAGTAGTAATAGTTCAAAATTGTTAACCAATGAATTCCTCACTTATTAGAATTTTTATTTTAAATCGATTTTTGAAAAGTGGTGGTGCTATTATTTTTTGCGCCCAATTTCAGCAAAGTTTCTTAAATAACTTAAGAACGTTAAACAATAGGATGATTTTCTTTTTATTCCCATGCTTGTAACAGTCTTCCCTTTCTAAACAGGTGCTTCAAGTTTCCTTACTGCTAAAAATGTGGGTGTGGCAACTAGTTAAAAATTACTTGTGGTAGTGGTGCTATTATTTTTTTTTTTAACTGTATGTGCAAATATATCTGCAAATGAGAAATGCCTACAAGGGTAATAAATCTTCGGCGATCCAATGTCAATTAATTCTTTGCAAAATTCAAACTTGCCTAAGTTGACCTCCGATTCCCCACTCTCTTAAAGAAACCGCTCTAGTTTTCGATTTGGTTAAATTCAGGACTCCAGACAGGAGTGCTAATGACTCTGCTGCAATTGTACAGCAAGCGAGCTCTGCACAAAAACAATTTCTGTTTAGGGTCGCTGTTGGTGGTAAAGCCTTTGGCTATGTTTATTTGAACTTTGGGAATCTACATAAACTAAACATTATCGCACTCATTGACATTCGTTTTTTAGATTGTTCAAGTAAAACTCCTTCTTCATCACATCATTGAAAATTTAGAGTTGTGTTGGCCTTTCTCGAAACTTTGGTCCGCCTTGATGTTAGCACATTATTTTAGTCTTATCCCAAAAAAACGTTATTCCAGAACACCGCGCGCTTGTTGACATTGGCAATAGACAAATTATGCCGCCTCTGAATATTGACTGTAAGAAGTATTGGTTTCTTTCTAGCTATTTGCCAGAAGTACATATGCATTTTTATACCCTAAACCCATTAAAAATGTGTAAAAGCGGAAACTTGTATTTAAGAGGCAGAAGGAAGCATTTCCGACCCAATAAAATATATATATTCTTGATCAATCACTGGGTCGATCTAGCTATGTCCGTCTGTCTATTAGTCCGTATGTATGAACGCAAGGATATCAGAATCTATAAGACCTAGAGAAATTTTAAATGTAGGCCCACTAGCGCGGCCGCGCAGTACGAGTTTCCGATATTCGACAACTTGCCCCGTTTCCAAGTAATCGATAAAAATCGTCATCGTATTCCTGTTTTTTGAGCAAGTTTGCTTAATTATAAAAGCTAGAGCTTGAAAAGGAATGTTACTTTTTAGACTAGTATGTCTGTATCAAGAGTCTTTCGTTTTATAGCTATCACCACCTTCCCGCTACTACCACATAGCTAAAAATCAAGTAAACCCGCAATTTAAATGCAATTGACTTTTTGAGTTCATGCGCTAGAGGCGGTGGCAGCTAGTATGGTCTGTTGCAAGTTCGAACCCTACCGTTGTTCTATTTTTTATATTTATACCCTTGCAGTGGGTATTATAATTTTGTCGTGAAATGTGTAATGCATAGAAGGAGACATCTCCGACCCCATAAAGTATATATATTCTTGATCAGCATCAACAGCCGAGTCAATATAGCCATGTCCGTCTGTCTGTTTCTATGCGAACTAGTCTCTCAGTTTTAAAGCTGTCTTTGCAGAAGTCCCTCTTTCTGTTACACGCAGCACATATGCCAAAACCAGATGGATCGGACCACTAAATCATGTAGCTGCCATATGAACGATTGGTCAAAAATTAAGTTGTATGAAAAAACATTTTGTTTTTTCCAAGATATCTTGACCAAACTCGGCATTAATTAGTTTTACTATGCTCTTCATATAAATGCTAAATACTATTAAGATCGGTACACTATATCATATAGCTGCCATAGGAACGATCGGTCGAAAATTAAGTTGTTATATGGAAAACTTTTTTGTCATTCAAGATATTTTGAGTACTGCTTCCAAATTCGGTGATTTTAACTATTAAACTGAACTATGCTCATTTGCCACGCGGCAGAATATTTTTAGATCTTTCTTTCGAAGAGTGAAGTGTTTATTTCAAATGTTCTCATTTCATCTCTAAAACGAAAAGTTATTGCTTTTCCCATTGTAGTGAGCGTAGTCAAATTCATCTGACATCTGACGCGGTATATATTCGAAATTTCAGGTCTCACTTCAACAGCAACGAAAAAGAAATTGCTTCCAAATCAAAAATAATTTTCACTTTCTGAACGAGTATTAATGTAAAAACAATATTTTACGAATGAGGCAAGACATTTGTCTTGCTCGCACTCTTCTGCATCCGAAAACCCATCTGCTTATATAAATTGCTGGCAACTAGAACATGATGGATACTATAGCTGTTTTGGATCCCAATGAATTTGGGACGAGTTATACGAACAATTTTTGTAAAATTTCATTCTCAACATTATTAATTTGATCCGGGCCATGGTGGATATATTTAAGTTCGTTATATTGATTTCGTATACTATCATAACTTGAATTTCTTTCTAGTCCGTGCTTTAATCAATATTGTTCAATTTTTTCAGGTGACAACACTGAAAAACAAGACTTTCCAAATGTGCCGATTGAGGATAATCCATTAACGAGTTATAATTTGGTTATCCAAAAAGCATGAAGCTGTGTATTCGTACAATATTATTTTCAATGCTAAAAATAAAAATTTAAATAATTTTCTATCGAAATTAATTGACTGATTTTTTTAATATTTACAAGTTATACCCGTCTATGTCCTGCACCAAAATATTCATTAATTTTCCATTCGTGTATGGATGTTGGTGAATTACGTATTTATAAATTTATATATACTTATAAGTTGAGATTTACTTGGTTAAGTTATAAATACCATACAAAAAAGGAATTTCCGACCCCATACACACCCAAACCTTTTAATGCCCTTCCAAACACGTTATGCCCATTCTACGACACGGACAATCGCGCCGTCCCAACAGGACAGAAAGAGGATCAGGCACATCTATATCACCTACCCAAGTGTGATCCTCGACAAGTGGAACACGCCAACCGCTGAGTGAAAAACACAAGGTGCGGTTTGCAAAAAAAATGTGTTTTTAGATTTGCCTATACAATTCAACAATAGTATTTAAGGTCATCATTGATTTAAAGCATGCATGCTATGGATAACGAAAAAGTACTAAACGTCGTTTGTAAGAACAAAATTTGTCGCTCATTACACTTCGAAAACGAAGAGAGAATACGCTGAACCCACAACGACTTGCCTCTGTTCCCACGTCTAGGCGTGATGGCCAGCAAAATAGGCGAACACAGTTGCATGGCGAGCAACAATGCAGGGAACAACAGCTATGCCGCGGAATTGTTTGTCAATAGTCTATCTTCCATTTATATAGCATTTCAGGATCTCTTTTTTGTACATTCGTTTTGGTTCGTAAATCCCGTAAATCCTTTACACTTTCTCATACATTGAACCCAGTGCTGCCGCAGATAGTGTTATTTGCTTTCGAGGAAGAAGAAGATTATCCCATAATGGTGCACTGGAGCTTTGAGCGCAGTGCCAGTGACAGCGATGCCACCTACGATATGCTACTAGTTCTCCTTTCAAAACGCGGATCCGGCCCATACGGGCACCTACATATGCAGCGCCAGCGATTCGGCGGGCTCGACCAGATACGGCATCAACCTGACTGTCAATGGTATTCGCCTCGATTCGATTCGATTAATAGAGTAGTCTAGTGTTACCTTCGGGAGTTGGTTGTGGTTACGTTTAACGAGCTAACTTCGTTGAATAACAGACCCACTTCTATTTGATACTAATCCAGCCTAATGTAAATATTTACATCCATCTATTGGTGATTATCTAAACCAATGCTAAAAATGACTCCAACTGCTCTGCGTTCTCTAAATTCGCGTCCAAGACTGCCACTGAACTACGGGGAGCCGCCTGCCATGCAATGCACCATTCTAGGCGGGCCTCTACTCCTGTCATGCCCAGAATAAGGCAGGCTTGACAGCCAAATCGGCGCATCTGATTGTGAATAGTTTGTCAGCCGACAGAATCTAAATCTACATTGATTTGCCTAATTTACATTACGTTTTTTTTTTTTTTGAATTTCTCCTTTGGCCCATGATTTTCGGTAAGATTGCGTAGGTAGCTACAGACTGAAATTTGGTCCTTCGCAGTTGATTCTCTTTCCGATAACTTCAATGCACGAGCTAATAACTGATACATCACCTGAATTGTTGGATTTTTTTATATCGGCGGTCCCTTAAACGTCGTATTCAGCAAATTATGTCTTTTAGAAACTGAGAATCGGCATGGTAAGTCGAGCAAAAAACGTAATAATCATTCTATTTGCATACAAGAACTTTGCATACATGAAAATTATGTGGTACTATGAATTTATATATTAGCAATTCAACTGTATTGGGTCTCTTTCTGACTAGTTCCTGATAAATTTATTATTATATTTTTCTGAATTAATTAATTATTAATTAATTTATTAATGATACATCAGCACCTGTGTCGACTAACAACGTTAATCTTGACTCTGTTCTGTCATTCTTTACCTAAATTAGGTTCGCAAAGCTGATATTAATAGTGTTATTACATTAAATTGGATTTTATTGTAATTTTACTTATTACGTTTTACGGACCAGGCCGGGCAATTGTCTCTTGTCTCTTATAACTTACGAAATTTACTCAATAAACAGGACAGACACGGATAGGAAAGCAGACAGGCAGACATTCAGAATGACAGAGACAGGCAGGCAGACTGGCCGACAGATAGACAGACAGAAACAGACAAACAGGCATATAACTACACAGTTAACGGAACAGAAATGTTGGCCATTATATGGGCTCTTTAAGCATTAAACAAACATAAACATACAAATCGAAAGGTACGGTCAGTGTTGAACGATGCCGCCTGCAATATAGAAAACGCTGACTATGCGGCTATAGGGCCAACTCTTTAATTAACCTTTGGTCTAAAATTTGTAAATAAACGCATACATTTTTGTGTTAATAAATAATAATAAAAATAAAATAATCTTATTATTTGCGGCCGGAAAAATAACCAAAAAGTTAATTGTTTAAAGTTTTATCGATGGATCACATATCACAGAGCCTGTCAGGAGCTTGTCTGTTGGATATCTTCGCATTTGTACTAGTAGCAGGATCCACAGTACGAATCAACTGAAACTAAATAGGATGATCATCGGCAAGAGTGGCCACATTAACAATCTTAACGTAAGCTAGTAACTAAGAAAATTGTATAACAAAAAAAGAAAAACAGTTGTTAACTCGCGACCGTTCGAACCTGATTTAAGAAAAAATTAAACACAACTGCTTGGATGAATCTAATGTGAGGACCACTGCAGGAATTATTAGAAGACCCTCAGATAAGGTTATCAGGTTTCCGACGGAATTTTACAGGAGTCCCGTCACCATTAGCATTGCTAAATTCATATTCAAACATGAAAAAAGTTCATTTTGGACTAAAACAGCTGTTCTTTGTAATTAATGTTGGCAAGCCTCTCTTGCAGTTGTCGCAGGACCTCTTATCTTAAATCAAATTCATCTGTTGTCGATCTAAGCGAAGCAAAGAAACATTTCTAAACCACAGCCTAAAACTGCTATATAAATACAATATATTATTTTTACCTAAAAAACGCCTAACATGTTGAGGTTGGAGGCCAAAAGATTTCTTTAATTCTTGGCTAAAGTTTTCAAAACAGTTAAACATTGGCAGCACAACTTATGGTATTCAATCAGTTTTTGTAATTTTGTTTTGAAGGTTTAAAATTCTTGTTTAATTAGATTGATATTTTGAAAATCAAATATCTCGTTATTCTCGTCTGCAGTTGAACATTCTAATCATTTGGTTGATACGTACTGTTATTTGACTTTTGTCGCAAGTTTGACTTAAATTAATTCCAAATTATTCTCATACATATTCTACGCAGTGATTTTCTCTAATTTAACCAATCAGACAATCGGCGAGTACAGGTTGGATAATATCAGCAATGCATTCGTTCTGTTCAAGTAAATCGTAAACTGCAATCGCAAATCGGGAATTCCCGACTAGACAAATACCCTGAACTCTCTTCTACCAACACAAAATACATCTCGTGAGACGTGCCCGTTTGCTTTAGCAGTCATAAAAATAAATTTAAAAAAATCGAATAATAGTTCCCATACCAACAAGCAATCGATACTGAAAAAAAAAACAATTAAAATAGCAGCACGTACTTATCGCAATGCTGTTGATATAATTCAATAAAGACGCGCGTAAATGTATGTGTAATTGTATACAGAAATTGTTGCGCTTTGCGCTAGCTGCCGCTGACACGATATATACATATGTATATATAATAACGTAGTTATAAATTTAAAAATAAAAAGACTTTATTTCACGAGAGTGAATTTGTATCAGTTTATTATGTTGAATATCTGGATTAAGACTGAAGAACAAAAATTGGCTTACGCTATATTTAAAGCTAAATAATAATTGTAGTATATGTTTTTTTTTTGCAAAGGCCCGCAGCGGCAACTTTTTATGCCAGCGGTTTTCTGTTGGTCAGTTTTTGCTTATATGTATGTTTGACATTATTTGAGCCTGGCTACAGAAGGCATTCTACTCTTATGATTTTCGCTGCTGTTAGCATTATTTGAATTAGGCTGCGGAAGGCATGCTATTGTTATGATTATTCAATTTGTAAACATACAGTGGGTTATACAAAATACAATATGTGTTAATATTGTCTTTGGTTATACCATTCATTGCAACTTATGAATAACATTGGTTCCAAATTCTGTTGTTGTGAATATATTACTTCTCTCCACTAAAAATTAAACGTGTCATCACGCGTGTATGGTATATAAAAAAAGAAAAGTAAAAAAAATGTTATTTAAATGCTTGGATACAATTTTGGTAACATACATATGTACTTAAATTTTCTTGTTCATTTTCATCAATAACATTTAGTTTCTTAAGAAATTTTAATTTAGGTTTGTTTATAAACTTATAGATAAATTTTTATGATTAATATATTAATTACAAATACTGTAATTATTATAATTTGGTATATTTTCATTCCTTTAGTATTTTTGAAAATTATTTCTTTTGTTTGAATGTACGAAAGTTGTTTTAATTTGGTAATATTATTTAGTACGTATATACTTTGTGTAATCTGAATTCAAATTGCTTATAGATATCTCATTGAGTTTTACTGAGCAATTATGGATTTTTATTATGTTATTTCCCTCAATTAAGATATCATTTTAAATACAGTTTTGCTTAAATGTGATTTTGGGTGAGTTCCATGTTATAAGTATATTTGGTTCAACATAGTTAGTTTGTGTTATTAAATGTGTTTTTGAAAATCTGCAACTACTGCTGATTTGTTTTAGTATTCCTAATATGCATGGGTTTATAATCAGTGTTTTCTTGTCCTTGTTGTATACATTCCATGTTTTAATAATTTTGGATTAAAAATTCCTAATCTAGTTAGTTGCATTCCCATTTCTAAATCTTCAATATATTCTGTAAATTATTGTAAGTTGAATGCTAGTAGTTCCAGTAGTTAAGTTTCTTCTCTCTCTTTGTTTACTATTTCTATTACTTGGTTGACCGCATCAATTACATGGTTGAGATCGCGTGTTTGAATACTATTTTGAGGTA